TATGTACATACGAGCATGCTCACAAAACACAAATTTGCTTGTTGCTATGACACGAGCAAGAACAATGAAAAAAAGTTTTCCATTGAGTTCCTATTCCATTTATCTGAGCAAACTAATTGCACCGTTTACGAGCACCGTGCGTCAGGAAACCACAACATATTTTCTCAGTCCTGCCTCATAGTCTTTTTTTGCGTGACATCCGCGACGGTTAAACGGTCGGATTACACATCTTAACGAAACCAACCACTGCACTGGCACATTGACTGCCCGGTTCTCAAAGGTTTTGTAAGGTTGTTGTGAGCTCATGCTAGGCTACGAACAATCATTTAATGAACTTTTATGAGTTTACCGTGCTATTTAGTATGATCCTGGCAGGATCCATTGCCAATGGAGGACGGCGACTTGATTCTTACAAGACCGCCATTATTTCATATTTGTAATTTCAATACATGCGTCTGGGCGCAAAATAAGGAAACGACTAAAAGGCGAGGAAAATATCAGCCGTTTTGGCTGAAGCGTGTAACGCATCGCATAAAGGGTTTCTATAAAAAGTGGCAACTCATTTTTCACTTGCTTCAACCCTCGCCCGCACATGCCATTTTCACATCCTAGAACGCACATGGGGGGGGGGGGGGAAAGCGCCATTTCGTTCCTGTTGGAGATAGAGCTTTGCGGTAAAGACCAAAAAGATTTTTTTGGAAGAGACAAATTTATTGATTCCCAGTTTTACCTTCTCAGGTCAGTTATTGACCTTCCAGGTCAGGTGAAACTAAAAAATGTTGCTGTTTTGGGTCACCGTTGGATATCAAGTCAAAGTGCGCTGTTCATCATATACCGATGACGATGCCGTATTGTGGTGCCAAGTCAGCTACAACCTCTTTGTCACACTATCCGACCAGGTTTTTGCTGCTGAGGTCATTTCAGGTCAAGTTAGGTTAAGGTCAATGATATGTGTTTGTATGTCTGTGTGTGTCTGTGTGTATACTGATGTGTGCACCGATTGTTTATGTGTTCATATTGCATGAGATCATGAAATGAGAAGCTTTTACCAAAAATACAGTCAAAGAAACTTCACGAAAAACAAATTCAGCTTGCCTAAAACGCAATGTTTTTAGATGACCTAGGTTGACCTTGACCCTGACCTTGACATCTGTACATCGTCAAACAACATGTTCCATGATAGTTGTGAGGTAAGACTGGCAAAAAAGGCCGAAATCAAGGTGTCAAAAGCTCACAAGACCCATAGCCAACGCAAGATATTGGATATTTGTCATTTGGATCATGACATGACCTGAAGAACAAGGTCACATCTCCAAAACCAAAAGCCACAGAAACTTGAAATTGTCAGTGGACATCAAGAAAGGAGGATAAAAGAGCAGCGTTTCAAAAAAATCAGGCTTTTAGCTTTAACCCTCGCCCTGGCAGGGCATTTTTCATAACACGGCCTGGCAGGGGGGGGTCGATGCGACCCCCCCCTCGCGATTGGCTCCTATGGCACCTAGAAGCACCAAATTTGGTAGATAGGTGGGCCCCCTGGAGTTCTCGCCCCTGTGCAAATTTGGTTGCTCTAGGTCAATATTTAGGGGGGTTTTGGGGGGTATAAATGTAAAAATTTCGCTAAAAACAGGTCAAAAGTTTTTCGCTTATAACTTTTGATCTAATTAAGATAGAGCAAAAAGAAAAGCACCAGTGAACTCAGCACGTCAAGGCGCGTCGAATGATATACTTTTTAGCTTGCTTAAAGGGAGATTATGACCTTTTCCCACTTTATTGGAGTTGGGACCATTTTTTAGTAGGAAATGTATAAATGTAATGTAAATTCATTGCATTTTGCCGAAAGCACAAAATTACCATGTTTTTTAAGTTGAAGTAGCTCAAGCGCTCCGCGCTTGGTAGTGATGGGTGAGCAAGTACTTGCAGGTTTAAGTAAAATCGGTGAGTAAAAACTAAATAATATTTGAAAATTTTATTTTAGTTGATTGCTGCCTTTATGGTCGATTCGTGAATAAAAGGTTTTCTTATACGTTTGTTTTTTCGACGTGTACGAATGCTTTTAATTATTAGGTACCGGACAATACATAATTTAGTTGCAGCATTTCTCATTTTAAATAAGGAACGAATGAGAGCACAGCCTGGCTCTTTATTTTTGGAAGAATTTGGTATAAGTTATTCCATTAGTCAGTATGTCAAAAGATTCTTTTCATGCATTGATACAAATACATTACCTTTCTTAGAATACCAGTGAGTCGAAATACATGTGTACCGGATGACATAAATTTCGTAGCTGCGTTCCATCTGATTTGAATGGCCACAGTACCTACACACGTTGGTTGTAGGGTACTATGCACCTACAACCAACGCCCTACACACGACACTGACATCCAAGCTAACAACATAAACAAACGGTAACATAAACAAAAACCCAAGCGTCGCTGTTTGAAACAAAAGCGCCATACACTGCGACTTTTTTATAGAGAAGGACAACGCATTTCGGTGGGTGTTGCAAGTACTGCAAGTACTGCTTCTTTTTTGCAAAAATAAAAATCATTTTTCACATACGAAAATGTGCTAGGAAATTTTCCTATTTTATAGAAACCACAGTAAAAATAGCATGGATGTAGAATAAATTTTATGTAAGAAAAAAGGAAGCTCATTATCTTCCTTTAAGTGTACTTAAAGTTTTTCTTAAATTTTAAGTAAACTTAAATTTATAAATTAAGTTCAAGTTAACCAAATTGCATCATATCGCATATCATTCGATTCGGCTGATCACCAGGAACACAATGATACCATTTTTTAAGCTCTAGCGTCATTATGTGTCAAGTTATTGGCAAAAACGTCATTTGACCTCAGTTGACCTCATTTGACCTGACCCATGGATAAGTACACCAAACAAAGAAGCACCAAGTGACCTGCTGTTAAGTACTGTGGTTTCAAAGCACAAAAGTGATGGAACGAAGCGGATATCTCCAGTATTTGCCGAATTTAGTATTTTCCCATAGGCTTAACATTACGACGTAATGACCTCTAACTGACCTCAGGTCAGTGACCTCAAAAACCCGAACTATATGTTATACAACTCGGTGAACTTAGCACATCCTGAAAGTTTGAAGGAAATCAGTCCAAAACTGTGAGTTGGACAGGTGCAAAAAGAAAATTGAAATTTGACCATGACCTTGTACCGGTTTTTCTGACCTGGTGACCTGACCCTAGGTCACTCGGACCTGAAATTCTCAGGTCATATGTAAAAAGGTTGCCCCATAGGCTGTGCTAAATTTGGCGGCGCTGCGCGCCGCCGTTTTTACGCTATCTTTGAAAAACCTTAGGGGGGGTCGCATGGGCGAGGGTTAAAAATGTTGAGTGCAGAGCAGAAAAAACTACCTGGGGGTGGCAACCCCCCCCCCCCCATGTGCGGGCGAGAGTTAAGCGAAACATGAAACACTGCTAATGATAGCACAAAGTCACATGTGAGACTCAGTAACTTAATTACACAAAGCTTCATGATAACTCCACAGAAATAAGTTCACTCACAGATATTGCCCTCTCCCATGGCTGGTCTGGCTTATTACTCCGTGATCGTATCTTAGCATCTGACACTGAATAAGGGCCGCGGCCGAGTCAAAACAGACCGACAAAACAGCGCAACGGCACCTGCAAGCAGTCATTCTCATTCATGACTGCCACTTGTTTGCCTATTTCCATGCAACTATATAACAAACCTTTGACGGGAAGAAAATTGACCCAAACATGTTACTCAATCGAGAATGTTGGACACTTGCTATGATTTTTAGAGCCATTTGATTACTGCTTAAGGCTCAGTCTGATCATGTTGAGTCTTAGTTAATATATGAAAAGCATGTCATTCAGAAACTTCCAACTATTTTGAATGTTTATCAATCGAGCTATTTTGAAATCGCAACAGTAATACCAATCTCGATTGTCCAGCGCAAGGGTCGTGAAAACACCCTTCTAATTCCTAATGTGTTTATGGTTCATGTTCTCTTCCGTTCGGTAAACAAGATGGAACAGCGATCTCCTGTTAACCCGCGAGTTGCTGGGGGGGGGCGTTAAACGCCCCCACTTTTTTTGCCGGGCCATAGCATAAAAACGGCGCGCCGCAGGCGCGCCAAATTTTTGGTACCTGTAGGGAATTGATTGACGTGTATTTTGACAAAGTTTCAAAAAAATCGGTCGGAAAATTTTTGAGATATCGAAGTTTTAGTGACGTCATGATTTCTGAGTTTTCGACCAAAAACGGCATATGTTCAAAAATCATATAAAATCACAGAATAGACATACAGACATGCAGTAAACGTCATTAGACTGCCAATACCATGAACAATCAAATGGCTATCTTCGATTATTGATTATCGATCCGCATTTTCCAAAATCTTGAACTGAATCTTGGCAATTTATCGTGACTGCTTCACGACCATGATACATGCATTTCTTAAATTGAGCTTTTTGAGCCAAACACGTACACATATGACAAAATGAATGTCACCATCGTGTTCTACGCCCCAAATTACCCATAAAACATGTGTCACAGGCTGCGAATATCAGTTTTGATTTTCGGGGATATGTGCCCACCCGGTTGACCTGACCTTGACCCTTACCTATGCTTGACTGACCCCTACATGGAGCTGACACTCTTGTAGGCCTTATATGATGGATTGTGCACCGTTTTGACAGAGTTTATGACGAGAGCCGCCCATTGCGAAGTCCTGAAGTCCATGCTACTGAAAGCCCGATTTCAGGTGTTTGACCTGACCTTGACCCGACCTGTGACCTAAAAATTCAACTTTAAAGTACTCATCTGAAGCGTCTCGTCGCGTTCTTTCGTTTGCCGCCTCGTGCGTTTCGCTGCGCCTATTGGTTTTCGAGTTATCGGCTGGGGGCGTTTAACGCCCCCCCCCCCCCCCAGCAAACGGTGGGTGGCGAAATACCCCAGCAACTGCCGGGTTAATGCACTGATATAATCGCCACACGATAACGGCTACATGCGCTACCGTATCTGCTCGAGTGTCCCCCTGTCTCTGAGACGGCAGGTGCTCGGCGCAGTGCCCGGGTAGCGGCGGCCTCCGCTCAGCCCACACGGCCGCCGGCTGTCCGCAGTAGGATGTAGATAGCGGCTATCGTCCCTATCGGCGCGATATGGGACGGCGACGCGCGGCGATCGGCGACGTCTCAGCTATCGGCGGATTAGTGGCGATCCTTGACGTCAGTCGGAGGAGCCCGGCGGCGGCGGCAGTGTCTGTGACGCTGTGACGCCGCGTTCAGAGGTGACTGGCTGGATAAGGTGGCTCCGACAGTGAGTGGTGAGCGGGTCAGTGGATCCAGGCGTGTGGTCAGTGGATGGTGCCGGGCTCGTCTGCTCTGTGGACGGTGTGACGGGTGACCCACGGAGACACGGGGTCGTCAGGTCGGGGAGGTCCGGTGCCGTGACGGGGACGGTCGGCTGACGCTCGGCCAGCCACCCCTCCGCCGCTGTCGGGGAGTAGAACCACCCAGCTGTGCCCGCGGCGTCTGTCAGGGAGTAGAACCACCCAGCTGTGCCCGCGGCGTCTGTCAGGGAGTAGAACCACCCAGCTGTGCCCGCGGCGTCTGTCGGAGGGTGACCGACCGGCGCGCCCGGCTGCTGCTGCCGATCTGACCGCGCAGACCGCCATGGGACCTAACGGACGAGGACTGCCGCTGGTTTTGGTGGCCTTGCTCGTGTCGTCGGCCGTCTCTTCAGGTGAGAAGCACTGCCGTCTGCAGCGAGGTTGTGGTGGAGCAGTCGTGAAATAACGACTCCTGCTTAGCACATTCAGTGCCAACCCGTGATTTGTCGGACGTGTTCGGAAGCCACATTACACAGTGCTTTCCGCTTATCAATATAACGCCACACGGCTTGTATGTAACTCCACTGTTTTCTTCTAATGGTTCGTTAACCTATATGTTTTCATAAGGCGTAGGTGGAACTCTATTTTTCCATGTCACGATTACGATCAGATTTTAACAGAACTTGGTGTAGGTACAGATTTTATTTATTGACAGATTCATGTTTGTTGCCGAATTTCACCTACCTATCCTTACTCGGGTAGGTATGTATATACAACACAACATACTGCACCTATCAGAATGCATACCGTCATACTAACTACAAAAAAATGAAATGGGCAAATACAATGCCAGAAGCTGTAAAGCTCAGGGTAAAATGTCCCTCCTGCGGCTCTAGAGATATGCCTGCTGTAGCGGAGTGTCGGCTCTATTTGCAGACGGGTCGCGGCCGTCCGGTTCGGCCGGCGACTGGATGCCGAGGCTGATGGAGCTCAGTGAAGACGAGGTGGTGGACGAGACGCAGCCCGAGGATGTCGGACAGGCAGCCGTCGATCCCTGCGTCTCCATAGAGGACTGCGTCGTCAACTGCACGCTGCCCGACCTACAGGTGGTCAGCCTGCAGTCAACCAACTACCAGTGCCCGGTATGTGGTCTAGCGGCAACCTCCAGGTGGAGAGACCGCTGTTGGATCCTCACCTAAAGGCCATAGCATACATATGACATAGCATAGTGAGTGCTGGTGGATGCTCTTATGAGGTGTGCCTTTGCCTCATATACCTATTACCTATTGCACTTCAGTGAAGTTAATTTGCAGATAACTAGATAAATAGATAAGGAATATGATCAATCGAAAGATAGCACAGCCACTATCTGGCTTAACCCGCGCATGACTGGGGGGCTCTACAGAGCCCCCCCTCCCGTTTTTCAGCAATATTTTCTAAACAGTTTGACGGATCAACACGAAACTTGCGGTACTTTCAGAGGCATCAATTTGACACCTTGTGTTAAAATTTCAACTTTCTATCTACCATAGTTTTGCCGAAAATGACGTCAGAGTGACGTCATGTCGGCCGATTTTCATGCAAAATACTGAATTACGGCAAACGCTCTCAAGAGCTCAGTTTTAAAGCTAGATCCATTTTCTTTGCATGATTGGACTACAAATACACGTAGCTGTCAAACTGCTATCTCGAATTTTCGAAATTTTGAAAATTTTGAAAAATATGTATTTACAATTACAAAAAAATATATTTTTAGATTTTATTCAAAAAGTTTTTGACTTTTCGCAAAGACCGGAACATATGTGATAGAACACATACTGATGAACTACCTTTGCAAGTTTTAGCCCAATATCTTCAAAAATAGCCAAGTTATTCGCATTATTGTCAAAATTTTACAATTTTATGTTTTTTTCAAATCCATTTTTCAGTACGTTTTTGAAGTCGTACAGCAACATGAATAGCACCATCGTGTTCCTGAGCTCAAACTGCATCTGATAGGCACCTTTTTTGTTGAAAAAATTCATTTTCAAAATTTGACCTTTTCTGACCTGAAAGTCACCTGACCTCCGGTAAATTCAGCTGACAATGACCTCAAATGACACAGACGACACTATTTTCGAAATCTACGAGTAAAATGGACCATAAAACATGCGTCACGTGACCGATACATGATGTACAATTTTCGTGACCTAGGATGACCTGGCCTTGACCTTAAAAATTCGAAATAAAAGTTCGGTACCCTCAGGGTATCTAAGGCATCCGTCAAGGAGTGCGTAAACCAAAAATGAGCCTGATCGGACCGGCGGTCCGGCGGTCAGAGCCTAAATTGTGAACTAGCAAAAATGTCGATAATTTTTACTTTGACCTGACCTGTGACGTCATCGGTGACCTTGAGGTCAATGAAAATAGGTTTCGTTCGACAGTTTTTCCAGGGCTATCAGACGCCGTTTGAATTTTTACGATCGGCCCAGTAGTTTCGGAGATAGGAGGGGGGGGGGGCTCTGGAGAGCCCCCCCCCCCCCCAGTCACTCGCGTTATGGAAAATACCCCAGTCATGCGCGGGTTAATCTGAATTACGTTTGAGAGCACATTGCTTTTGTGTCGCCAGGCCATACGTTCTTCCCAAATAAGTTCACCCTCGCCGGCCGAGGGGGGGGGGGGGGGTGGCGGGTGCCACCCTCCATGGGATTTTTTTCGCGATAGCTCCAAACACGCTGCAGATAGAGAACTGAAAGTTGGCAAACCTGACCTTTGATTCAAGCCAAATCTTCTGACACCAACTGCATTTTCGGGTCAGGTCAGGTCATTGACCTATGACGTCATAAGTGAACCTCTGCACGGTGTTCAGATGTCGCAATTTTGCAACGCCCTCACTGCCAGAGGACCTTTCACCGGGAAATGAAACTTGCAGGATCTAGTATCCATTAGGAGTTTTTCAACTTGTATGTGTTGGATTTTTCCTAAAAGTCTTATGAGGTCAGGTCATTTTCGTGACCTCACCATTATAAGTCAATGGGGAAAATGAACACTGCTATTCTGGCACCTAGAACGATCTCCAACTATCTCAAGCACACAGAATCGTGATCTCATGCACTCCTTGCAAGGTTAGATGCGTCACTTTTGCAATGTTAACCTTGCGTGATGTCATTTATGACGTCAGTAGGGTCATATTAGTTTTTCGTCAATAACTCCCGATCAAATACAGATAGCGAGTCAGGAAGGCCGCCAATAGACTCGGGAAGAAATGTCGAATCGAATGATATGAGACATGACCTCCTTCGACCCATTTCGTGACCTGGGGGCGCTGACCTGACCGTGACCCGAGGTCAACACCTTAAGTTGACCTCACCCAAACGAAAAGCATATCATTTGACGCGCCTGAGCGAGGCGAACACGATATTGCCAAAATCGCGGCTCTCCGGCCGTTTTTGCGAAGTTATTCATCAAAAACGAAAGCGTACCTCGGGGCACTTGATCCCTGACTTCAGAGGTCACCGGTTGACCTAGGACCTTAAAATCGGGTATCAATCTCTGCGTCTCGTAACGGCGCACACGCTCGTTTTTTCGGCGACGCGCTAGCTCCACCAGGGGCGAAACGACGAGGGGGGTCGTACCCGCCCCCCCCTCGGCCGGCGCGTATTTACAAAATCAATAGGTCCGCGGAGGGTTAACTTTTGAACTTGTTTTCACTGTATATGTATATTTGTTCCATTTGATGCATCGGCTCACATACCTTTATTGGAACGAGTCCGGCTCTGACCGTCTCTGTCCGTGTCTGTCCGTGTCTGTCCGTGTCTGTCCGTCTCTGACCGTGTCTGCCCGTGTCTTACCGTGTCTGTCCGTGTCTGTCCGTGTCTGTCCGTGTCTGTCCGTGTCTGTCCGTGTCTGTCCGTCTCTGTCCGTGTCTGTCCGTGTCTGTCCGTGTCTGTCCGTGTCTGACCGTGTCTGACCGTGTCTGTCCGTGTCTGTCCGTGTCTGACCGTCTCTCCGGCACCCGTTCCGCTGAAGACACCCGGCCTGTGGACGATCACGCTGAACGCCTCCTCGGAGGACGCCGTGCTCCGACTGCACGTGGAGCAGGCCTCCCGGCTGGCGGTGGACGAGTCGCTGACCGTGCTGGAGCCGGACGGCAGCACGCTGGCCGTGCTGACCGAGTCCCAGCCGACTACCTGGGTGGCCGCGCCCTCCTCCTCACTGGTGCTGGAGTACCAGCAGGAGGATCCCGCCAGCCAGATCCAGATCTCCCTGGTGGCCTACAATCAGAGTGAGTTCGACTAGGAGAGGACCAAAACAGCCAGGTCCAGATTACGCTGGAAGCTTGCAGTTAAAGTGAGCTACCCATCAGGAGGAAGTGGGAGACGGGGATACGAGAGGATGATGAAGTGAACTGGGGTTCTACATATGTAGGAACAGGAGCGAAGCTAAGGAGTAATTGAGGGGTGGTAGAGGGTAGAGAATATTAGAAGAAAATCAGAACAGAGGCAAAGAGAAAAGGAATATTGTAGGTAGTTACAACGGAAAAATATTGAAAGATGGCATGATCAAAGGTGATTAATCTAATAAGGATTAAGACCTGAAAGGTTGGTAGGTAGGTACTGTGTCAGTCTGACTCCTACTGAACTGCTAACCGGCATGTCTCACCTTTTCAATCGTCATCTGCAGCCCAAGAGAATTACGAGATCACGGACAATATGTCGGGGACCGTGGAGGCGCCCGAGCAGGCTCACTGGACGGGCGGCGCCGACTACGCCGTGAACACGGAGCACCTCTGGCACCTGAACCTGCTGGAGACGGCCAGCAGCATCAACTTCACCGTCCGGGACCTGGATCTGGACGCCGGGGCCGGCGACCTGCTCATCATCGGCGCCGGTGAGCTGAGCCGTCCCGGCAGCTGCCGACCACACGGTATCGCTCGGGCATGGGGTGGAATAAAGGGAGATATATAGAGGTGAAAACGCCTGATGTCAAGAGATCGGACTCCAAAGCTGGTGCTTTTTAAAATCCTAGTCGAGAGTCAATTTAACCCGCGCCGTGCTGGTGGCCTGAGTTTTCCGTGTCGTGCAAGGGGGCGGGGGGGGGGGCGTTTTCACGCCCACCCCCGTCTAACTCGGCTCCTAGGTCACGTAGCGACACGCGGTAAGTGGCAATCAAAAGAGCATCACAAAAATGGCGGAAATACTTAGGTCATTTTCAAGGTCAGGTCAAATGTCAGGTCACCAGAGGTCATCAAAGGTCAAATGTTGTCGATTTCATCAAATTTGAAACACCCGACGGCTAACTCGGGAACCAACAGAGCTACAGCGCCGCGGAAAAGCGCATTCGATAGCTATTTTAACGCTCTTTCGCCAAGGAGCCCTCAGATTTGACCTCAGATTAACAGTTTAGCCTCCAGAGGGTAAAAACCATAAAAATAACCTTTTTTTACGAAAAATGTTTGTCTGTAATAACTTTTGACGCAGAAGAGCCACGACATTACTTTTACCAGCATCGTGTTCCTCTCGTCAAGACGCGTTGAGTGAACTATGATTTGACCTTGAAAGGTCATTTTTTAAATTGACCTCATGTCAAGGTCATGACCTGACCGGAAAGGGTCATGTTGCATGTCAGTCGATCTGTAATCGTCGAGCTGAACACATCTGACGTGTTTTCACCGCTCTAGCACGTCTCTATCTAAGTTATATTTTAAAAACTGCTGGTGACCTTTCATGGCCTGAGATGAACTCAAGGGCACACAGAGGGGTCGCAAGTACAATTTTCTGGTTCAATGTGTATTGTTTACTTATGAACCTATGTTTGAGAAGTTTTAGAACGACATTCGTCCAAAAGAGGCGCATTTCAATTTTCTCCCATTGAAGCTTATACCTACCTAATGGAGAAGTCGCAAAATTGACCTGACCTTAGGTCACACTCACAGATATACAAATATGTGATATAAATTGTATACATATGTACTGTTACCCTAAGCAATCACTGTAAGTTTCAAAGTGATTGCTCAGTCGCTGTAGCTACAGCGAGCCTTCAAACTTTTACTGAGGTAAGGTCACTTGACGTGAACTGGTGACCTGACCTTGAATGACCGGGGCCTGAAATTTTCACAACATTTGCGGAAAAGATGTAAAAACAGTTGGACAAAAAATGGCGGCGCGTAGCGCGGTCACTACGCGCCGTAAAAACGCCTCCCCCAGCACGACGCGGGCTAATACGGGCCGAGTTTTCAAACGGGCCGTAACAAAAAAAAATTCAAAAATTTGCTTTTTACAGCCCTGGGTCGGTGCTGGTCTCCACAAATGTGTGTGTGAGTGTCTTAGTTGATGACCTCGACCATTTGACCCAGGTGACGGCCCGTACGCCTCCGAGCCTGTCGCCCACCTCTTGACCGGGAGCTTCTCCACACGACACTACCACGTGCCGGCCGGCGAGGCGTTCGTCTACCTGCTGTCCCGGTCCCACGCGGCGCCTCGAACTCCGTTCAAAGTCAGCTACACAGCCGAGAGTGAGTAGAAACGGTAGACCGAGCTTCACAGCCGGAAATGAGTAGACATTAGCCGTTTTCACGACGGGCTATCCGGCGAATGCACCTAATTTGACCAAATCTGCACCTAATCTCGTTTACAGCGAATATCTTCGCTTTATGAATTTATTTCAGTGTTTTAATCGATGATACTCTCTGATAATATGACAAAGCCGGCATATACGCAATTAGCGCAACCCTAGCTGACAGCTGCTAAGAGATACACTGAACCTAATTTGACCAAATTTGCACCTAATCTGCACCAAATGTGCACCAAATGTGTACCAGATGGCCGTCGTGAAAACGGCTATTGTATACAGAGCTACACAGGTATGAGTGAGTAGAAATGATAGATCACCCCGGAGCCCGTTCGAAGTCATCTACACGGCCAAAATAAAGTAAATAACGCTAGGTCATCCCAGACTAAGCTCGTAACAAATTTGTGTTAACAGTACGAGTTAACGAATTATCATGTAAGGCAGTTCAAAGTCACAAAGAGGAAGATGTACAAAAGTGCTAAGCAAATGTATACGCTAGAGGCCTGTTTTGTATGGTCCGTTCTATCGTCTCTCTGCCGTCTCGCCGTCCTGCAGAGGTCATCGGCTCGACGACCATGGCGCCGACCACGACGGACCGCAACCATCCGCCGACGCCGAGCAACCAGGACTTCCAGCTGGACTGCTACGTCACCGGCACGGACCCGGGCCGCTTCGTGGACCCCAACGACACAGCCACAGCCCACCTGCGGGAGACGCTGGCGCTCTGGGCCAACGTCTACAAAGGCGACCACAACGTGCCAGCGTGGCGAGATGTCAGGCATGAATCTCAGGCCTTACTGCAGTGCGGCACTATTGATCGCACAGCGAGTTAAAAAAAAGCAGGCGAAAGCATTTGTTCATTTCGATACATAATGGCTACGTTTCCATGACACAATCTAAGCCGATTTTGAAAAATGGATTTGCTCCATCATAGCATTTAGGCGTAATTTAAAAATGTAAATATAGGATTAGGTGCTAGCTAAAACCATATATACGCTCATTTTTTGCATAAGGTAAATAGTTTTCGAGAAAAATGCACGTGAAATTTCGCTAAATCGATTTAGACGTGTCATGGAAACATAGTGAATGTATCTATCGGTTATGATTTAAGTTAAACAGACGTGCTGCCCTGTTGAAGTACGGGTACACTGAGACAGAGTTGGCCTACGTTACGTTATTTTGAAGTTTTCGGTAACCCGTAGCTGTCAGTTCCGTTTCGTAGCGTAATTGGGATGTTTCGGTAGCGTAGTATGGAAAATAATAGAATAACGTAGGAACTACGAAATGGATTCCGTAGCAATTACAGGTCAGTTGTATTTGTATACGGTACATAATTTTTTTCAGTTTACTCATATCGTTAGTCGTCACCAGACCTCCGGCCGTTTACACGGATGTGAGACGCCTGCTATATGAATACCACTGAGTCTTTCTTCCGGCCGGACCGACACCGGTGAAGTCCAGCGCATCTAGCGAGTAGCGCGTAGGCACCGCCGCACCGACGATGCTGCAAAGCCGGCGATCATTGTGCGCAGTATTTGGCTTACTAGAGACTAACCGTTTCCACTGGGTAGTGGATGATGACATATTGCATAACGTAGTACGATAAAATAATTTGCTGCGTTAATTAACAAATACCGTAATTCAGTAACGTAGCAATATATAACGTATCGTAATTCGGTATCGTAGTTTTGGCCAAAAAAGCAAACGTAGCGTAACGTAGTGCGTAACGTAGCGTAGCGCAGGCCAACTCTGCACTGAGACCTGTGTCTGACCCCCCCCCCCCCCCTCCCCGCCCGCACAGGTCTGACGACGTCCAGTTCAGCGCGTGGATGATGTGCGACTACACCTCCGGCTGGGTGGTCACCGACCCCAACTGCGTCCGGGTGACGTGGTTCATCGAGCTGCTGGCCACCGACGGACAGTGGGCCTTCCTGGAGCCGCAGCTGTACGGCATCGTCTTCGAGAACGGCGCCGGCATCAACAAGGACCTGGGCTACCAGGTGAGGGGCGCAGAGGAGAGCGGTCCGTGGAACAGGCGTGCCGCGGGACAGGTCAGATGATGGGATTGTATGATACTGCCTCATAGCAAACCTGTCCTGGTCCAAAACCAGTGTCGGCACAAGTTGATGCTATTGTTCGATCGATCGTCAGTAGGCAGTAACCGAGACTGTGCCGACCCTTTCAACCGTTGTCTCTCTGCGGAAAACGGTTTCCTCTGACGTCCATGTCAATCGTTCTCTGTTCTCTGGCAGTTTTCTCTGACGCTGACCGAGGTCAACAAGACGCTGTGGTGGGCCATCACCATCGCGCTGGTGCCACTGGCGCTGCTGGTGTTTATGGTGGTGATGTGGATGAGCTCTCGACCGGCGCACGCCAGGTGAGGGTGGCCCTGGTCCCCGCGCGCAGAGTACTGAAACAACCGCTGAACAGACAATGTAATACCGAGCCCTACATTCTCTTATAAAATGAGTAAAACTGTCATCTATAACATAATGTGTCCGTAATACCGACGAAATAAACAAAAATGCTTATGAATCATAGCTCAGCGGTACAAAAAAAAAATGTTTGAAGTCTAAACATCCACGTGCCTAAGAATTCGAGCATTGATATTCACACTGAAAATGCTGATTTAGCCTGACAGGGATTCGCGCTGTTCCAGAACGGACATGGACGATGAAGGCAGCATTCCCGAAATGGAAGACATCGACGACCACAAATATGGCATTGATCAGGAAATCAGGCCGTTTGAAGAAGACGTAAGTGCTGAATATTTGTTTCCTGCCCATCATAGTACCTTTATTTTTCTGCCGGGATATACAGTAACTACATATATACCTTCGTTGGAGTCCATGCTTTTTAACTATGGTTCGGAGTAGAATATCAAACAATGCAGACCGGATCGCTGGCATCTGCCGCGTAGCCCGCGCGGGCGCTACTGTTCGACCCTGGCCCCCGACTGACCACCCCCCCCCCCCCCCCCCTCCTTTCCCCCTCCGGCCGCCAGCGGGTGAAGCAGGCGTTCGCTGGAGAGGACACGCTCAAAGAGTTCGACCCGGAGGTGCACGGCACCGACCGACACCGCTACCTGCCCAAGCGGCCGCTCAAGTCGGCGCTGAAGGCCCCCAAGCCGGCGCCCCCGCCCTCGTACACCAACCCGGCGTTTGAGGGCGACGACGAGGCTGGCGGCGGAGACTCCTCACTGAAACAGGCGCTCATCGCTTCGACCACGGCACCAGTTGCGGCCCCGACTCCGGCTCCGGCTCCGGCTCCGGCTGCGGCTGCGGCGGCTCCGGCCCCGGCCCGCGCTCCGGTCCCGACCCCGACCCCGACCCCGGCCCCGGCTCCCGTGGCTGCGGCTCCGGTGCTGCCGTCAGAGCCGGCCTCTGCCGAGCTGACGGAGCAGCTCAGACTGCTGAACGAGCTCAACAGGACGCTGAAGGAGGATCAGCCGCAGGCGAGCGGCATCGAGCTGCCGCGCGTCGACCGGCTCGTCAAGCCGCTCGGCGCGGCGGCCACGCCGAAAAAGTTCGTCATGAACGAGGATGGGTGAGTGTACCACGAGAGAGGGCACCGGGACGAGACACTGGCCTGAGGACAGACACAGGCAATGTGTCGATTCACCGCTGAGGGAGGTGGAATCGACACATTGCTTGTGTCTGAGAAAAAAAAAAGATTTTGAGAAAAGCTTTAGCGCTGTTTTGCCTTCATACTAAGCCTTTTCAGTAGGTACCTTTCAGTTTTATTTGAAACAACAGAGCACTCACTGCAGACTGTTGTTTTTCAGAACTGGAACCGAGGTGGACATTGTACGACCCGGTAAGAACGTCATTCAGCTGGATGGTGATGATGACGGCGGAAACAGGAAGTCCTCCCACGTCTGATCAAGCCGCAGCTGACCAGCGGGCTTCGGCAAACGTGACGACTATCGACTACTATACATACGAGTACATATCTGTATACCCACTGTTAGAGACACCCTATAACCATGTATGTTTTAGACACTTTTATCTACATACTTCGACAGCTTTAAATGCCACACTGATGTTGGATTGTTAGCTATGTCTGTCTCGGTTTATTATGGATATGGAAGTTAAGTTGCCTGATGTCTCGTGGGCACCCATGGGAGATACGGGCACTATCGGGATTGAGTAGGTGAAGAAGTGCCTAACGAGTGGTGGCCTTAAGAGGTTGATCCGCTGTCACCTGCAGTCCATAGTGCCTCACATCTAATTTAGGAACAAATGGCGCATGACCCATCGGGAAAATGTCAATAATTATTCAAATGTGCTTTGCATCTTTAATGAAATACGATTTGGCTCAAACTCAGAAGCTCCTTATTGAAATGATGACGTTTTTGCTTAAAAGGAGACGTATTTGAAATTATTGACTTTTCTGGTTTTAGAACCCAAGGTTTTGGTCACGCCCTACTAGTTTTTATTTCGCCTGTTCAATAGAAAAAGTCCGCTGTTCCGGTGTACTGTATTACTATATATCTTTAAGCTAAATATATATTTATCGACCAGCGTTGATTAAGTGTAATGAATGAACTTGCAATTATGCTAATAAGAGCAATTCTGTGATTTAGGTATTTGTAACCAATCGTGGTGAATGGATGATATCATTCATCTGTTTGGTGGCATCTTATTGGTTCTATGTAACCATGCACTATTCATGAGCATGCGTTTCCAATTCAACGATTTTGTAGCCATATATCGGGAGAGTGATGACCAGTCGAAAAAGGGTTTCCATCAAAAGTAGAAAGGCAATTGCGTAAACACGGCTGGAACAGAAATGCAAAATTGATATAGTTTATTCATTTACAAAATAAATAGTCATATGTGGTAAGAAACGAACATGTTTGAGTGCGAGGGAAATATAACACGATTCATAAGTGAACATACATAATTATGCATGCTGCAGCGATGCGCGATATTTGGTTACCCATGTGTGGTATGTTGCATTTACGCATATCACAACGTATGTCCGTGCTTAGTGAGCCTATTACCGACGAGTTTTTCCTGAACTTGAACCAAACAGATAAAAATTGCAAACTACTTTTATAGCCACCAATAATTAAAAAGGCTATAACTTTTTGGCTTAAACTTAACTTATCGCAGCCAGCTTAACAGAGAAGCAAGATTTGTGACAAAATATTTTGAAGGCGACGCAAATGTCCTAAAAACGACTTTGAACTAGAGCAAACAACTTTAAAGGGTGATGAATCATTCATGCAACTTCTCACTTCACATCCATGAACAGTATAAAAATCAAACCAACAAAGAAGCTTAAAACAAGCACGAAACGGACACACAAACGCACGCGCACACAAACACATACACCCACATTCGAACAGCATAAAGACACACGATACCTCATTGCTCTTGGTGCGTGTCTCCTATCCAGCCGGTGCTGCTCCCACTACTCTCGGAACTTGCTCTTGATGAAGTTGGGCAGCGGCATACTGTAGGCGAGCACGTTCAACAGGACCAGGCCGGCGACGAACGCGAACGTCCAGGCAAAGTTCCAGTAGAGGTGCAGGTCGTCCACCGGGTTCTTGATGTTGCCCAGGTTGTACCGCTCTTGGAGGTAGTGTGTGCCGTTCAAGTACCTGTAATGATGTAAAATGAGGTGCGGTGAACAACACATCACCTTGCCATAAGCGAGCCTAGCAGCAGCGTAGCGTATCTACTATACTATTTGTTTGTATTTACCAGTAAAACGCCTTTTGGGCGAAGAACGAGCGAGCGAGATAGTGAGCCCTGCACGTGCGGAAGGGCGAGAGGGTACTTCCAACGGGCTTGTGCAAAGCACCCTTCTAACCGGTCGCTAGCGGTGTGCCAAATTTGAACGCAATCGGCCCAGCCATTCCTGAGATCTGGAAGCGGCATTCTGCACGTGCGCACGTGCAAACGGGGTCCAAATTGACTTTTGCACGGCACCCTACTAACTGGTCCCCAACCGTGTACCAAATTTGAGCGCAATCGGCCCAGCCGTTCTCGAGATCTGGAAGCGCCCCTGCACGTGCGCACGTGCAGCAGCACCTTAACCGCAACACATGGGAATGCATTGCCTGGTGGGTGCCTACTGCCTACCTGTAGGTATGCCAAGTTTCAGCGAAATCGCCCCAGTAATTACCGAGTTATTGAAATGGGAACAAATTTGGCACCTCTTCTTTTTGTATTTTGCACGTGCAGTGGGGGTCACTCACATAGATCAAGAGTATCCGACCTTTGGTAAAAGGGATGCAGCTACCCTACAAAAACTACCGCAAGACAATCGCCCAAGCGGCTGCTGAGATATGAGCCTCTCAAAATCACTACTTTTGCAAAACAGCTTGAACACCCCTGACTTTTCACGTGGCACGTGCCACGACGGTCACTGAGATGTATCAAAAGTAGTCAATTACGGGGTAGAAGGGATGGGGCTACCCAGCAAAAAAGACCGCAGGCAAATCGGTCCAGCGGTTGCTGAGATATAAGCCTCTCAAAAGCGTTACAGGCCGGGCCGGGCCGGACCGGGCCGGGCCGGGCCGCTCATACTGAGATTTTTCCGTTATATTGAAAAGACTCGCTTCGCTTGCTGCGCTCGCTCGCTCGTAACTAGTGCTTTAAAATGCGATACGTGACAAACTAACGAATAGGTGACGATGGAAGGAAAGGCGAAGAGGTAAGCTGGAGCCCTTTTATAGCGATCTAGCAGCTGCAGTTGTGTAGCAAAGTAACAGCTGAACTTCTATCGTTCCATCTGAGCAGTACTCCGTTCGCCGACTTCATCGCATCCAATAGTTACTGATCCCCGCCAATACCTAGTCCAAGCCACCGGTCCCAGCCACAACGCCCAGCCACTAAGCTCAGCCAACGGTCCCAGCCACTAAGCCCAGCCACCGGTCCCAGCCACTATGCCCAGCCACTGTTCCAATCCACTGGTCCCAGCGATTGGTTCTCACGCAGCGCACGCACCTGCAGCCGTATTGGGCGTTGTTGCTGATGCACTTGATCTGCGCTGTTTCGTTGCGAGACGGCAGGTTCACCAGGTACTCCTTGTCGCGGAACATCTGCTCGTGCAGGAACGCGCTGGCGTAGCGGAAGATGACGACGTAACTGACGTAGTACAGCCACTTGGGCAGGCCCACCAGCGTCCTGGGAATGACCGGTGGATTAGTCAGGAGAGTCATAAACGTAATACAATCGTTCAGACGGCGGACCGGCTTTTCATTATGTGCCTTATCCTACAAGTAGCATGGTATGCTGACTTTATAGAGGTCGCTTGTCATTGGACGTGACATACTCGGTTTCAACCTCAATTTGTTCAATCACATTCACCGACGTTTTACAATTGTGAAATACTGATAGTAATGGGATATAAGAAACTTTAAATCACCATTTCTCACAGTGAATACCCTATGCTAGCGCACGGCATTCGTATAGAAAGAGATAGGCATATTTAGCATGCAACCGTAAAGCCGAATCGTAGATGATGCTGCTTTTAAACCACACAGCAGCTAAGGACCAGCAACCCCGGCTATTCCAGCCGGCCGCTTGGTCTCACTTGAGCGTGCTGCTGCCGACGAGCAGGTAGGTGACGGTGCAGTAGAAGCTGGCGATGCCGGCCGAGAAGGAGGAGCGGCAGAAGAGCAGCAGCAGCATGGTCTGGTGCTCGACGAACGCGTAGCAGGCCCAGAGGACGGTGAAGAAGAGGAACCACTGCCACAGCTGGTCGGTGGTGCTGTAGCCGGGCGCTGCGCAGTTGACGCAGTGCTCGCCCAGCCCCAGACCCCTGCCAGAGGGGGACGGGAGGAGTTAAACTCAGTGCTCGCCCAGCCTCAGATGGGCGAGCAGGCGACCCCCAGGCAGAGAGAGGCGAGGGGCGCCGACCAATCAGAGCGGAGGAGATAACGGCACCATAAATACAGAACAAGCTACAAGGCATTCCGGCTTCACAAGTACTTATCTTGGAAACAAAATACATCACTGTCTGAGCGGTTGCCATCGGTTGATTATGTAATCTTTCCGCCAAGTGTACCAAGCAGATCACTTAGAACGTTTTAACTTCCCCGCACCGACCAGAATATGATGGAGGCCGCAGCGCAGACGGAGAGGGCCGAGAGCGGCAGGGAGCTCAGAGTCTGGCAGAAGACGAACGTGGCGCCGCCATAGATACCCTCCCGGGACTCCTGGTAGTAGCGCGTCCGAAACACGCCGACTGGGCAGCAGGCGGGAGCGGGGGGGGAGAGGTCAGGTCGGGTCATATCGCACCAGCCGGACTACGGGAGCATGAAGATGGCATTCGATCTGTCTTTTCAACGAACTGAAACAAGCTTAGAAGAGAATAGAGATGCTTAGTTTTGAAATAAACGTAAACTAATGCTTCTTCACAAATATGTCTTCTAATATACTGACGCGATATATTTGGTTGCAAAATTATCATATCACTGTAATAAATGGCCTATCGAGCACGATAAAGCTTCCGGTACGCTCGATACATCCCCGCTCGTTTGGAGGGCGCACCGGTGACTGGGCGACTCACAGGTGGACGCCGTGATGACGATAGAGAGCAGGGAGACGCCGGCCAGACAGTTGAAGATGAGTCCCGTCCGGGTGACCAGGGACTGCTGCGTGGCCTGCAGGGTAGGGGGACACACGGGTGCCGTGAGGACGGCGTTCAGATGTGAATAGGGGTGCACGTACTGACCGGTCATCGTCGCCTGTGCTGCTGAATGGTCTAATCTACTTTACTTTTATTCATTTAATAGGTATCAATTGAGGAAGAACGTGGTTGATAAATCACATTTGTGTGACGTTACGAGAACACTGACAAAACTAAGCACCGCGCAACACCTGCCTGAAGTGGGAAGTAGAAATTCCACAGGACGAAGAAGAACATGGGCAACAGGAACAGTTTCAGGCCGAGCAGCTTCAAACCGCTCCGCCGGAAGTTAAAGATGGAGTCGCACGTTCTCCTGAAACAATCGAAGATGTTAGCGGTCCGAGAAACTTAAAAACCCATGGCACTGCGTCTGCCCGTTCACCGTGTAAATCGTTTGAAAACCAAGGGCTCGTAGCAGCTAAACCAAGCATCTGCTGCTACCAATCAGTTTGATGCTACAATTTGTCAGTTAGTAAATGAACACCTCAATTTGGCGTTATCAGGTAAAACTCCCAGTATAAAAGAACAGCCATCACACCTACAGCCAAGAGTGACACCAGCCACTACCACCGTCCGTCCAGTCTGTGTCTCGAGCTCCCGTCAACCGTCCGTGTCCCACCGACCGTCCATGCCTCAGTTCCCCCTGATGTCTCCCTGTCTCGGCTATGTCTCAGTTCCCCCTGATGTCTCACTGTCTCGGTTCTTACCAGATGAGGCTCCACATGACGGCCGGCAGCGGAGCGCGTCCGTACGCCGACAGCGGCACCTTGAGCTGCATCGTGTCCGGCTCGATGTCGGGCGGCGCGTGCTTCCGATAGGGGGCGCCCTCAGCCCGGAACCGCTCCACCAGCGCCGCGATCTGGTTGTTGGACTCGATGAACCTCTCCCGGGAGCGACGGTCGACGGTGGAGAGACACACTGCCGAGAGGGGCGGGCTGGGTCAGACCAGGTCAGACTAGACACTGCCGAGAGGGGCGGGCTGGGTCAGACCGGGTCAGACTAGATGAATAATCCTCTGAAATGACGGTCCACGGGTTAAAGAGACAGGTCAAACAATAGGTGTCAAATAGACAGTGCGCTGGCCTGTATGACAGAAAGGTGTGACCGTGGAGCAGCGGTTGCTGACACTGTTGAGCGCCATGTCTGTCAGCACCTGCTTCACCCACTGCACGCATTTGATGCAAGCTCTTAGGGTGTCACTATCAGCTGAAGAGTTTTTTTAGTCACGACTCACGACAAGGAGTGGAAAGCTGTGAATTATTACGGCGTTCACTGTTAGCTATTTTACGGAATAAGATAAGGTGATAACACTCGTGACCATCACAGACCCGGCTCCGTCACCGGTGTGCGTCTCCTCTCACTCACGGTAGTACATGAGCGGGTTCTCCAGCTCCGGACACGGGAAGCCGATCACGCGGAAATAGTCCAGCATCATGCGCGTGCTGCCCGTGTAGACGACGTCTCCCAGACAGAGGTAGGTGACGCGGTCCAGGAAGGGGAAGATGTCCGAGCGCGGCTTCTCCATCGTCAGCACCACGATCCGGTTGTACTTCTTGGCGTGGTTGGAGAGAATCGAGATGATGAAGTAGGTGTTGAGCGGGTCCAGGTCCCAGGTGGGCTCATCCAGCAGCAGACACACTGGTCGAACACGGGACGGGTAACACACAGTGTTAAACATAGTTATCAATGTGGTCATTAATAGCAAAAGATAGAAGGGTGGTGGTCCTGAATGGTGAATAGAATACATCACACGTAATTCACGATTTAAACACCATGAGATGACACAAACTACTTCGATTTGAACGTTCGGACGAGCGTACCAACAAACGCATTAATAAATGAATGAACGAACGAACAAAGGAATGCACGGATCAAAGAAAGAATCGCTAAATGCATGAGCAGCTCCCTCACTTAACAAAAATTACACGTTAAAGTTGAATCTTTTCCCTAGGTACCCCCTTCAAAATGAAGCTAACCCTAAGGGTATCCCCACACACTAGCCTAACGGTATCCTCAGCCACTAACCTGGATCGCGCATCAGCTGGACGCCGATGACGAGTCGCTTGTACTCGGAGGGCGTCAGGTCCTCGACGCCGCGGTTGCTGACGTTGTTGAGCGCCATGTCGGCCAGCACCTGCTTCACCCTGGCCGCCTTCACGCCGCCGGAGATCTGAGGGCGGCCAGAAACAGGTGGCAGAGGACGAGCGGGCCTCCACAACTTCTGATTTACATGTAGGTAACTGTTTCGGACGCTTATATACTATGAGTATTTTTGTGAAAGAGGGCATGTGACTTGCTAGCATGTCCCAAAGTTTGACCAAGCGGTCCGAATTTTGAAACCTTTTTACAGTGTAGACTGTGAAGGAAAGAAATTATGGCTCTTAATTTAGGCAATCGCGATGTCAAATAAATCGTCTACCTTCAGGCATCTGCGATGTCAAATCAGTCCAAGTGACACAATAACATGTTGTGACACCGTCGGACCCACAACAATCCGTCTCTATGTCACCCTGCCCACCTGCATGGAGATGGTCATGTTGGCGGCGTACTGCAGCGTCTGTCGCACCGTCAGGCCCGGGATCAGGTCGGCCTTTTGCGTCACGTAGCCGCAGTGCTCCTGGAACAGCTGCTGCGACATGGGCACGTTGTTCAGCTGGATCTGACCTCTGTTCCGGCCCTGGGCGCGCCGCGAGATCACCTCCAGCAGGGCGCGCTTGCCGCTGCCTGGAAATGGAGAGACAGGCCGTCCGGGCAGATCTTAGCCGACATCAACAAGGACGTTCAAAATATGAAATGTGTTCTCCAAACGGGACTGATTTGCACCTTGTAATGAAAAATGTATCAAAATCGATTTGCATTAATACGATAAATGCACACCAGACGTATCAAAACAGTATGACACAGAATACAGATACCAACATTAAGACATTTCCCTCGCTGACAGTATTCATGTCTGACCTTTGGATCCGAGGATGGCCATGACCTCTCCGCCGTGCACCTCGAGAGACACATCCTTCAGGATAACCCCTGTGGGGACTGACCTTTGGATCCGAGGATGGCCATGACCTCTCCGCCGTGCACCTCGAGAGACACATCCTTCAGGATAACCCCTGTGGGGACGGAGCCGAGCAGCTGCTGGAAACACGTCCCCGACTCCACCTGAGGTCACACAAAGGTCAAGAGTAGGTCAAGGGCAGGTCACAGGTGGGTCATTGTCAAGACACGGGCAGGTCATTGGTAGAGGTCTAGTACGCATAATTGCGATCGGTGAATTATGCGTGTCACATTGGCATGTAATCGATCGATTGAAGATGGCTTTCAGCATTTGGACTTTCTCGATGAAACGATTGGACGCCTGAAAACACTCATACTCGATGCTGAGGGATAGTTCCAGGTCCAGTCAGTCCGTTCATCACACACGCAAAGACTCGCACATACCTGCCCTGTATGGAACACTCCAGCTAGCTGGAGCATGTATTCCTGATTGGGCAGCATGGTTCCTGAAACAGACGACATTTGTTAGTGGCCTATAGATATCGCATGACCACCTTTGCCGCTAGTGGTAACTGAACTGACATTTGATCTAGAAGCCGACACCAGTACCCAGCTGGAGCGGAATTTGAGTGACGACAGTGCGGCGCTCTAGCCGCGTTGCTGGAGCGGACGAGATGTTGCTCTCTTGTGCGGCAGTGCAGTCTCCAAGATTGTTGGTGTTACTGCCCTGTGCTGTGATGCAGTCTCCACTGCTGCGACATGCAGGGATGCTTTCTAGTGATCCGTTGCAGTTCCCAACGAGCAGGCATCCCCTCGGACATGTTTTATTCTCTCCTGTATGCTGTTTTGATTAGATGCATAGTAAAAAGTGTACCTAATATGTGATGTGTAACTGATAGCATACCTACATGCGTATTGCGTAGTAGTATGCAATATGCATATGAGTTTGCGTGCGTTTTTCCACATTAAGACAAACAAGACAACATTCGCCCTAATCCAACTCTGCGTTGAAGATTTCATTATATGATTCATTATATAACACTTATTTCATTATATGATTGTTGAAACGTGACTTCCAAAGACATTAGCTCGCTCTTCTAAAGCCAGAGAACGTTGATGTGAACAGGTTACGGTGCCCCAGCACACACAATCACGCCGGTTATTTTTGGGAGTCGACTCGTTTTGTCCGACCGCTGACACCGGTCGTCAGCACCTGTTTCCAGTCACTGACCGCGGCGCATCTATCGACGGCCATCACCAACAATGAGCAGGAACACACTGGAGACGCATACCGTTACGCCGACGTTACGTGCACGTTGTGAGCCCGAGCAGCTCGCGGCGCAAACCCAGCGGCCGCTCTCGCCAACATGGGAGAGACAAGGCACCGTTCCGCGTCGCTGCCCCGACCGAGGCCGGCAGTGGCACCGGACGCGGCAGCGCATCGGTCGACGCTCAGTACAGAAACTATCGCAAAATCCTACATTGTAGACACACAGAAATGAGATGGACGAGACTTACCTGTCACTAGTCGTCGAAGGTTGTCCCCTAGGACAGAGTGGAGCCGCTACAAACTCACCTGTCGAGTGGAGCGGAGCACGGCGGTGGCACACACTCCCCTCTCGGCCACTCGCGACACTCGCCGCCGCCGCCGGAGCCGAGCCCGTCCGCCTGGGAAACCATCAACAGGTGAGATGACGTCACGGCCGGCCGCTGCGCCCATTGGCTGCCGGCGCGGTGGTTGACCCGCACTGTGCACTGGCCGGGCCACTCCACCGCTCTACTGTCTGTCGGCGGCCAATGAGAGCCCTCGGACGGACGGTGCGCCGTTCTACCGCTGCGGGGAGCGGTGGAGACGGCAGCGGCGGCGGCGGCGGAGCTGATGCCTGGGTCGTGTGCAGCAAACAGGGCGGCTGCGGGGCGGCGGTGGACGGACGGCGGCGGTAGAGGGTGGATGGTGAGACGCGGCGGAGGTGCACGGTGTGCGGGTGGTGCCGCTACAGTGGATAACGCGGAGGCTGTGAGAGTGCCAGTGTGTCTGTGTGCGTGACAGGAACCTAACCGGACCGGCGAGAGGCACAACCCGCGAATGGAACATGAGGGGCCGTCGGTAAGTACAAACAACTCACCTGTGTCTAATTATCTTCTGAAATCACCTACTGTCCTAAAAAAAAACTTTCGCACCAGTCTGTCGCTGGCCTTCCCCCTCCGGTGTATAAAAGTACCGTGGTAACTTCCCTGCCCTGTCCCGGTGGCGGCTCCCGTGCTGTCCCTGTCCTGTAAGCGGCACGTCCCGTGTCTCGGCAGCGGTCGCCGGTCGTGCAGCGCGGCCCGTCCAGAGGCCGCTGACCCTCCCCGCCTCCACCTCCTCCTCCGTGAGAATCCCAGCCCGATGGTAGGAGGGAGGAAGGGAGGAAGGGAGGACAGCCTGGGAGACTGACGCGCGAGGAGCTCAGGTGGCTTGAAGTCGTGGGTACGTCGAATATTGCGGGCTCCTCCATGTTATAGCTTTGCCAGAATCAATCAGTGCAGCTTTAATTACAAATGCATGCAGATGTTTACGAATACGGTTTGCTACTCAAATCGCATCCGGTTCTTGAGCAGCATTCGAACAAACGATGCCAAGCCACGTCAGGCATTGATAAGAGCTTCCTCTCTTGGCACACCAATACTGTGATACGGTTGCATTATTGTTTCTCCGATTACATAGGTATACAGCGTTATCGCGGCTGTCATCGAACCGTCTCTCATGGCGTTTGATCAATTGCAATTGCAATTCCGTCAATTGCAGTTGACCCTGTGGTACTGGTGATCAACTGGTCAGTGGTCAGTGGTCAACTGGTCATTGGTCACCTCCCGGATTACCGGCTACCGGCGGAGGAAACTCGGCACTCCAAACGGCGCGTCTCGTGACGCGGATAACTTAACACCCTGATTACTGCTAATGACACGCGAGCACTTACCGCATTCATAACTCATGCAAGTCCAGGAATGAATTGCAGTTTACAAAATACAGTAACCAAGGGCATAATGCGTCACAAGATCATTATGCCACACTGTGTGGCATAATGAGTTTGCGGGGTCTGAGCGTGTATCCTGGAGCAGTAATCGTCACGCACTTTCAGAATGTGGATCGCTCATGATTGTTCAATACAATACAATACAATGCCCTCTCAAGCTCAAGGACTGAAGCATGTCTACGCTTGCCTGGCTCTTCTTTGTCTTAACCCTCGCCCATGTAGGGGGGGTTGGTGTAACCCCCCCCCCCCCCCCTGAGGTTTTTCTTAGCTACACGCCGAACCGTTTCAGATAGCCTGCTCAAATTTTCAGTACCCTTTGGGGCATCCTTTGCGCAACTTTTGGTATTTTTTTTGTCAAGGTCATGTCAGGTCACGGAGTTATGACGTCATAAAGGGAACAACCTCCGGCCAGATTTACGCTAAATTGGAGATTGCTTCACATTGGTATAAATGCCGACTGACCTGACACACTGATGGATTGTTTTAGAATCACAACTGGCTGTTGACATTGGCACAATGTCTGTTGACATTTTGAAGGTTACTAAAGGTCAAGGTAAGGTCAGTGACCTCGGTTGACCTGTAATGACTTCTTGCACTTGTATGCCTTTTCGGGGTATTTTGATGCCCTGAATTCGAATTTGCTATCCATTTCAGGCATCGTCGGTTGTTTCTTGTAGTTCAATTTGGGTCAGGGTCAGGTCAGTGACGTCACACGCCTGACGTGACCCAATGCACAAATGACCTTGCAGACTTCCGATGCTCCCAACGCATCATTTTTAGAGTTATGACATCGAAATACACACCAAACGATAGAGAATTGATCAAGGATCACGATAGTGAAGGTTTCAAGTCGATATCTCTTACCGTTTTGCCGCAATCGGCGCGGAAATCTGAAAAGGTTAGATTTTTCCGAAAATTTGACCTTTGACCGGTCATAAGTAGGTCAAATGTTGACCTAGGACCAAAAAATATACCACCAATCGCGAGATCTCGTTGAGAGCAATCCGTTGGTTTTTTCCGCTAAGCTCTACGACGCTCCGTTTTCAAACGCCAGGGGGGGTCGCACCAACCCCCCCCCCCCCCCCTGCATGGGCGAAGGTGGCAAAACACCGTTTACGGGCGATGGTTAATGTTCATCCTGGGCTCGGTAACCATTCGACATCATTTGACATCCGGGCGCTGAAATCCTTCAGAGACATCGATTAAAGTTCGCCGTACCAAGAAGAGTCGTCTCCGTCCGCGCCGTTCTCACATTCCCGGCGACCACGGACCGTGATTCCTGCCCGTGAGACCCCGCCGGCCCGGTACCGGCCTTGAAGGGTTCGTGGACGCAGCTCGTTACCCCCCTCCCCCTTCCCCCCGGACGGTGTCCGGTCGGTACACAAAGCTCCGTCAGCCCCTCCCTACCCGGCGCCCAAGGCCAGACGGTGGTGGCAGAAAAACGCCTCAGCCACCGCCGCCGGCGACGATACCGGCGACATCGGCCGATCGACACGCACGGTGCAGTGACCGCCCGGCGGCGGCGGGGGCGGGGGCGGACTCGTGCGGGCTTTCCGCCGCTCCGCCTTTGTCTCTGGTTCACGCCGTGTCACGACGGAAGCAGCCTCCAGGCTCGTGAGGGGTGAAAACGTGGCGCTCCCAGGTGCTGCGGCAGCCGTGCCACGTGGTCTCACGACTCTTCGGCAGATGGTCGAGCGAATCCGCAAAACCTCTAGTCTCATATCGTCAGGGTCAAGGACTCGTACGTGGCCCATACGTAGTTTTTTTTTTTTACATGAAAGACGAGCGTCCAATACCAATTGGTGTGGTCGGGTCAGCGCTCAAAGTGCATCTTCAGCTTGTTCGTTGCTTCCTGTCCATGGATCTCGACTGAAAAAGTCACGATGACCGAGGTGAAGACCATGTGCGCACCGGCCTCGTCGGTTTCGGTGGGATGGTGCCGAGGGTTGATGGTCGACCGTTGATGTGACCTCCGATAGCTCCAGAAGTCTAACCACCGTCCGAAGCGAGCCTCACAAACAATGGCACAGAGCATCCACCCCTTCTGCAGCAGCTAGACAATCTGAGCCATGAATAAAGTAGAAACGTTACTATGTTGAACTAATTTGCATGAACTATCACATGCTTTGTGCGTAAATGTTCGTAAGGAAAAACGCGATAGAAAAAAATGCACATTTGCGATGATTGGGCCTTTACCGACCTCCCGCCATTTGCCAATGGCGTTACCCTTAATTAAATGTTTGCATTCAAAGTGAATTGAGATGCAACCCTTATTACCTTGCATTTGTGAAAGAAACCTCTCCACCAAAGTGTCGGTATCCAAGACCCAGCATCCTCGTTTTTCGCCTATCGCCAAATGAGCTTCTGGCGAAAACTTCACACTCTGAAAATGAAAGTCTCCTGGGTCTCTCACTCAACTGAGTTGTGCAACTTAGCGTGGCCCATTACTAGCGCGGCTGGTAATTATTTGCACCACTGAGCAAACACGAGCTCCCCGGACGTGCCCACGGTACGAGGCAGCAGCCGGCACCCCGTGCGGCCATTGCGTCAGGAGTGGCCCGCACCTGTGCCCCCAAACAATAGGTCCGCCTATTACAAATGACTCCACGGGTCAGCAGTTGAAACAAATGAAGCAACGCGGCAGTAGTTATTTAGGAAAGCTGCCTGTGCGGCACCCGGCGTGTAAATGAAAGTGAGCCCGATGTGAATGATGGGCTTTCAGCGGCACATCCTCGTTTGGTGAGCGCTACTCGCAGCGCTCAGATGCGCGCATTGCAATGGGAAGTGAAACCTTCCCCCCCCCCCCCCGACAGCTCGTTAGGGTCGAGAGGTCAACCACGCTCAACGGATGGCTAATAAAACTCCTGGAAGATTCCGTTATGCAGGGATTATTATCATTCAGCAGTGCGTTTGGTGCCAGGTATGCTATACGCACCGGATAGTATCGTTTTACACTGATGTCTCTTGTGGAATTATTGTGCATAATTTCACCGTGAGTTAAGACATGCACATGGACCTGAAGGTAGTAAGTAGTTTCCACTTGGGTTGTTTTGCGCAATATTAGATATTTGAATTTGTTTTTTGTCACTGACATGGAATAAAACAAACATACGAGACTTCATTGAAAAATATCAATTTAAGAGTGCATATTGCATATTTCGGATTATTGGTTATTTTCGAGCTGATTCGGTCATCTCACCCAGTTCGGTGCGATAACCGGCCCGATTCCTCTCGCGGTCTCTGACCAGTCGATACACACCCATCGGCCTGAATCCGCGGGCCGGTTCCATGGCTGAGCGCCCTCCGACACTGCAGACGGCTGCTGAATGTGGTCAGCAGCGCGCCGCCGCCGGCTCCCGGGCCGCCGGCGTTCTGCGCGGATTATAGGCGCGGCTGTCCGCGACCGCCGCCCGGTACCCAGCGGCCCGCTGACCCACAATTCAGCCGCGCGGCGGTGCGGTCATCCCTGGTATTTCCGTACTGGAATCTGCGGTCTGGTCGCTGCAGAGGGAACACTCGCACGGTTCGTCGGAAGGTCATTTCAGGCTCAAAAGAAACGATATATACCATTCGAAAGCTGACGGTGAGCTGAATCCAAAAATGTAATTTTTATCAAAATCGATCGATGGCCTTTTTTGAAAATTGCGTTTTTGTAAAAATTTAATAATCTTTTATTCAACGGGCTGTCCCGGACATTCTTGAAAACATAAACATGTATTTTTGAGTTCCAGTGAAAGCTGAACGCCAAAAGAACAATATTTAGCGAAGCAATATTTCCAATCATTAATATGCGTCTCCCACAGCCGACAATAAGGCGCAATCACACAGCTCAGTGTCACGATGGACCAAAGTCAGCCACACAGAAGCGTGAAATGACCCTTATCGACTCGCAGACCGGGCGCTCTCGGCCCGCCTGACCGGCCACGGAAAGGACGTTCGGCTCTCGTTCTACTAAACAAATGTCATATTTGTCAGTTTAACTGTCCACATCGCTATTAAAGTTATTCAGGATACATGTGAAGAAAATTCATTGTTCTGTCATCTTCACATCATGCATTAATTTGCATTTGTTCATGTCTACTTTGCTCAG